CTGTGCTGTCCTCTGCTGCTTTCCCAGGCAAATTAGCAGGAAGCTGGATAGGAAGTGAGGCAGTTGTGGGACACGAACCACATGGGATGCTGGCACCACCGGCAGATAGCATGGTACTCTCCCCGTGTGCCACTTGTATATGCATTGGATGTCACACAGTGCATCTCCAGAAAAAAGATGAAGCTGAGTGGCATTTTAGAACTAACCAAAAGACTGTGTCCAGTACTAACTGAGGGAGTCCAAAAACCCATCGGAGGTGGTATGGTTTGTCCTCAGTGAGAACAATGGGAAAAGATACTCTAAAATTTATTTAATTATTATTAAAATCAAATGAATTTAAGGTAATGAATCAATTTCAAGTTAGCATTTGTGCCAGAATCCTATGGCACAGTTCACTATAGGACATTTCTGGTAAGAGGTTCTTTAAGCTTGTTGTTGTTCTTATTTTTTAATTCTTATTCTTTTCTGACTTGCTCCGTTTCCGACCTGGGCCGGTTCACCCCCTTGGGCAACCTGGTGGTCCCCCGCTCCCAGGAGGTCATAGTGACGCCGAACTTGGTGCAGACACCCGAACGGCACAGCACACTGCAGCCCAGAACTCCTAAAGCGATCCTCCGGCCTCAGCCTCCCAGTAGCTGGGGCTACAGGCACGCGCCACCGCGCCTCGCACTTCTTACTCTTTTCTCAAGATGATCTCCCCCGGCACTGTTCTGAAGGAGGGAATGTGTATAAAAACATTTTGAAATAACTTAGTTCTTCTGATTGTAGAAGTTCGTGTTCATTGTTGAAAAATGTGGGAAATAAAACATACATCTATATATAATTAAAATAAAAGACATAAAAACTTGGGACCAGCATACTAGTGTAGTGGTTAAAGTCCTCACCTTGCATGCACTGGTATCCCATATGGTTGCTGGTTCTAATCCCGGTGGCCCTGCTTCCCATCCAGCTCCCTGCTTGTGGCCTGGGAAAGCAGTCAAAGACGGCCCAAAGCCTTGGGACCCTGCACCCATGTGGGAGACCCGGAAGAGCTCCTGCGTTCAGATTGGCACAGCACCAGCTGTTGTGGTCATTTGGGTAGTGAACCATCAGAGGGAAGATCTTCCTCTCTGTTTCTCTTCCTCACTGTATTGCCTTTCCAATAAAAATAAAATCGTAAAAAAAAGAACAAACGGTCTAATTAATAAGGATATAGAAAGCTTAGGGAAAATGAATACATGGAAGAACTATGCATGGATTTTAAAGGATTTTAGAACCAAAATAAACTTACCTTTTAGTTCTATTTTCCCTGAGCTTTTCAAGGATCCCCGATGCCTTCTCCTTGATGTCATGATGTCCATCACTCCGTGTGTTTGTCACTGTTTTAAACTGTGGTTGGAAAGGGGCGTGTAGTCAGTTCCTACAGATTTATTTCATGGGTCACTTTCTGAAAGCAAATGAATCTAGTTTGTTGTTAAGTGGCTTCTTAAAGCTTTATTAATTTTCCTTTTCTCCTTTGTTTCTGCAAATATCAGCAATTTCCTTTAATGTATGGAATATAATTAATATGTGTTCAAAATATGTAAATACCTGTTAAGTTCTTCCTTCTTGTTGGCCACTTACATAGATTAACAGATGGATGAATTTAATTCACTTGGAGGATGGTGGTATCACAAGAAGAGCAGGAGACCCCAATGATTAAGTCACTTTACTTTCTGGGCCATGGTTCTGTGCTCATGAAAGAAGTCTTTGATCAGATAATATACTAGCCTCCTGCTTGCTATTTCTTTGATCTTAACATTGCTCCACCCCTGCATCTGCTTGGTGGTGGTGATCTTGCTGGAACCTGTTGGCCGTTAGGTCTGAGGGCCACATGGACCTATTTTGACCTGTACAGTGCCATAGTCGGTATTTTCAGTGCAATGCCCTGAGCTCAATGAGTTCTCATACACAATGGCACCTGATGTGCCACTACTAGAGTTGTTAATCTGCTGACTGACAGGTCTGAGGGCTACCTGAAGCTATCTTGGATGGAACCTGTAGGGTGTCATGTTGCAGTTCACTGAGTCAGAAATGAGTTCACTCCCAGCTCAGCACATGTGCAGTACTGTCCTTAGCCTTTGTCTCCTTAAACAAAATGGCGCCTGATATGGCTCCAGGTGGTAGACTGGGATTTGATATCTGCTCTGTTCCTGCACTGCCCATCTGGGATCTGCTAATCTGTCTCTGCTCCTGGTCAAATCGAACAGACCAGCAGGATGAGCAGTTCTTTGTCTGGGTTCACCTCCTGAGCTCCTGGTCTCTTCCCACCTTGTTGCTGGTGGAGTTGGAGCTGCTGGTGCAATTCAGATCGCCATTCACTGAATGGTGCTGGAGTATCAGTCACTGCAACACCATACCGTTGTTTTCGCTGCTTTTCTGTGTCTGTCAGTCTCCAGTACCCCTCTGCTGTTGTTCTGTCCTCTCCTGTTTCCTGGAATGTGCTCTCTTTGCTTCACATTGGCTAATGTTTCTCAGTCTGTTTAAATGTGTCTGTACCCTATTCCACCATCTTGATTCTCCTGATATCTGGTTTCTATTCCCGTCCCTAGCACTCCCAGTCAGTTCTACAGGCGCTGGTTTATTTGCACAGTTGATGCTGATGTTGGGTTGAAAGCCTTTCATTGTTTTTGAGCTCAGTGTTTAGATAGCACCACCTGCCTGTGACCGCCAGGTCACCCAGTCAAGGAAGTGTGTCTTAACTTCAACAACCCTAGCATTCATTCTCTGGCAGTGAAGAGGGAGCTGTGTTCAGGACCATTATACAAACATTTCTCAGGAGGACTACCAGATTTCTCCTCGATGTCTGCGTTCTAGGGATGGTTTTCTGTCTCTTCTCTGTCTTACTTTCATTGCAATCAGAAGACAGAGGCTGTTTTGTACAAGGCTGGGTTTTGCACACAGCCACAGTGTGCTGCAGTGCCAGAACACTCTCCCCTCTGGTGGGAAGACTGCAAGGGGCAGGGGGCACACGGACTGACCAAAAGAAGAAAGAAAATGCAGCCATTCCATTATTAAATCTCTTTTCTTGTAACCTATGGCTGACTAAGTTTTCGCTCAGATAAAGTGCTGTTGAATCTTCTTCCTTAAAAATGTCTTTGGGTACAGTGCAGTGACCTAGTAGCTGAAGTCCATATAGGCACTAGTTCATGTCCCGGCTGCTCCACTTCCCTTCCAGCTCCCTGCTCATGTCCTGGGAAAGTAGTAGAGGATGGCCCAAGGCCTTGGGAATCTGCACCTGCTTGAGATCCAGAAGAGGCTTTCAGCTCCTGGCTTTGGATTGGCTCAGCTCACGCCATTGTGACCACTTAGGGAGTGAACCAGTGGACGGAAGATCTTTCTATCTCTCCTTCTCTCTATAATGCTGACTTTGCAATTAAAAAAAAAAGTCTCGTTAATCTGCCAGGCTCCAGTGTAGTTATCTTGAGGCCATTTTCAGCTCATACATTGTCTTGGAATTTATGAGGTTGTTTTTTTTTTTTTTCTTTGATACTATTAGTTATAAGCTGACTGCATTTTTAGTTTGGATGTGCCACCTGTGTCTGTGGTACCCCTCTAACATGAGACATGAGTTAGCCTCACTTTTCTGCTAGTAATTGAGTGCTCCCAGAATTAAAACCCATATACAAAAGAAACCTTGCTTATGATAGGATGAGCAGTCCTCAATGGCATAACATGGCAAAACAGAAAGTGAACCAGCAGGAGGGATACCTCTGCCTTTCTCCCTGATTTTTATTTTTAATCATACCATGTGACTTTTTAAAACATGTTAGGGACATTGTGAAACTATCGAATATTAGGTGAGCCAGAACTTAAACTCAAGGATGGATGAAATTAAAATTATTAGCCAAATATATTTCCAAGTTAAGTATAAGCATTGGAGGTGTAGAAAAAAAAAAAACAAATGTTCTACTTCCTGCACATTTTAATTTTTACAATTATCTTTAACATGGGCCATCTACTTACATCATGTGGAATGTAAAAATTGGGAATATGCCAGTGTCACGGCCACAGCAGGTGAAGCCTCTACCTGCGATCGTGGCATTCCACGTGAAGTCCCAGCTGTTCTACCACTTCTTTTGGTGGGGTTGGGGGGGGAAGTCAGATATACAGAAGATCTTCCATCTGTTGGTTCACTCCCCAAGTATCCACAATGGCCAAAGCTGAGCTGATCCAAAGCCAGGAACCAGGAGCTTCTTTCAGGTCTTCCTCGCGGGTGAAGGGTCTCAAGGCTTTGGGCCGTCCTCAACTGCTTTTCCAGGCCACAAGCAAGGAGCTGGATGGGAAGTGGAGGGCTGCTGGGAATAGAACCGGAGCTCATGTGGGATCCCAGTGCGTGCAAGGAGAGGACTTTAGCCACTAGGCCCCTGCGTTGGGTCCAGCTGCACCACTTCTGATCGAGCTCCATGCTGATGGCCTGGGATAGGCCTTAGATGAAGACCCCAGTGATTGGGTCCCTGCCATTCATGTGAGAAAAACCTGGATGAAGCTCCTGGCATTGGCCTTGCTCAACCCTAATCATATGGCCATTTGGGAATGAACAAGAGAATGGAAGACCACTCTCTAATTCTGCCTTTCAAATAAATAAATGTATGTGTATGCGTGTTTTGAGAATAAACTATGATAAATATGAAGACAAAAAACTGGCCTAATTAGTCATAGTACATACTGGGAAGGAGAGATGGGCATCGAATGAATGAACGATTCAACAAATAATCAAATGAATGAACGAGAGATCCAACAAATAATCCAGTATGAATAAAGTGTCTGTTGTCTTAGTGATGGTTATGCATGTCACGTGAATGTTGCCCCTGGTTGGGCTGTTAGGCTGAACGGGACTTGGTGAGAACTGTTTTGCGCTGTCAAGTTGAATAAACAGAGTAACTAATAGCACATCTTTTTTTCAGAATGTTTTTGTTTTCATTTTCTTGTGAATTTAGAGAGATTTCCTCCTTTTCAAGTCTCTGCTCTCTCCTCCCCAGCTCGCTGCTGCGCTATGGTGGCAACCTGTCCCTGCAGAGTGCCATGAGTGTGCGATTCAACAGCAACGGGACCCAGCTCCTGGCCCTGAGGCGTCGCCTGCCCCCGGTACTCTACGACATCCACTCCCGCCTGCCCGTGTTCCAGTTTGACAATCAGGGTTACTTTAACTCGTGCACCATGAAAAGCTGTTGTTTTGCAGGAGACCGTGACCAGGTGAGTGCCCTCTGCCTATTGCATGGCATGTGTATCTTTCTCTCCGATTGTTCTTTTCATACCGGGTTTCCTCTCTTCAGTGTCAAGTCAGATAGAAGCAATTTAGGGGAAACAGTAGGTACCTGGGGACAGTTGGGCTTAATAAGAAGTTTGCTCTTCGCAAGGTGACATTGGGTAGAGATGAGACATGCATGGTAATGCCAAGACCGACCCTGTGTAGTTCTGAGCAACCTAACTGCCAGGTCTGTGAACAGTATCGGACAGTAGCTTTTATTTTTGTTGGAAAGGCAGATTTATAGAGAAGGACAGAAAGAAAGGAAGATCTTCCATCTACCGATTTACTCCCCAAGTGGCTGCAATGGCTGCAGCTGAGCTGATGTGAATCCATGAGCTTCCTCCAGGTCTCCCACGCAGGTGCAGGTTCCCAAGGCTTTGGACTGTCCTCCACTGCTTTCCCAGGCCACAAGCAGGGAGCTGGATGGGAAGTGGGGCCGCCGGGACTAGAACCGGCACCCATATGAGATCCCGGCACATGCAAGACGAGAGCTTTAGTTGCTAGGCTACTGTGTTGGGCTCCTAAAAGTGTCATTATTTATGAGTGGATTAAGCTCATGGAAACTTATTCTGCCAGCAAGAGACATTTTCTTTTTTTTTGGTGTGTCAGTAAAACACAATGCTGAAATGTTCTAAGTACCATCCAAGAGACTTAACGTACCCTAAGTAGCGTGTTGGAATAGCTTCTTTTTCTTGGCTGGATTGCACTGAGCAGTTATGTTTGAAAGGGAAGCACGTGCGAACTCCTTCTCTTTACTGCCAACGTCACAACTGGGAATGACCGGTCCAGATGTGGCTTTCCAGCCTTTTCTCAACCTTACTACAAATGGAGATACTGATGTCCACTTAGAGCCATCAATTAACAAACAAAACAAGACCAAAAAGAGCACATCTCGGCATCGTTGCACCTCTGTTTCTTTTTGTCTCTGCTGATTCAATCTCCAAGTGGACTCAGTGGCTGGAACTGAGCGAGTCTGAAGCCAGGAGTTTCTTCCAGGTCTCCCATGCAGGTGTAGGGGCCCAAGGCTTTGCACCATTCTCTACTGCTTTGCTTGGCCACAGCTAGGGAGACAGAAGGGAAGTGGAGCTGTTGGGGTCCAGAACGGGCACCCATGTGCGATTCTGCGCGTGCGAGGCAAGGACTTTAGCAGCTAGGCTACTGCGTCAGGCCCACATCTTTGTTATTTAATGCAAGAATTGCTGAAGTGGCAGTGGTAGTTGTTTCTTGAGCTGTTGGAACTGATGTTGTGGCGAAGCAAAAGAAGCCAGCATCCCATGTGGGTGTCAGTTCGTATTCTTGTTGGCTTCACTTGTGATCCAGCTCCCTAGTAAAAGCCCAAGAAACACAGGAAAGGATGGGCCAAGTATTTAGGCCCCTGTCACTCACGTGAGGGACCCTGATTGAATCCTGGCTTCAGGCTGGCTAAGTGTGGCAGTTTGGGCAGTGAACCAACTGATGGGACATCTCTCCCTTGTTCTCCAACTCCGACTTCCAAAACAATTTTTTCTCTCAGTCTCTCTTAAGGAAAGTTATTTCAGAGCAGAGCACGAGCAGTATTCCCATCTGCCGATTTAATTTCTAGTGCTTAGGATGGACCAGACTAAGGCTGGGAGCTGGGACATTAAATCCAGTCTACCGTATGGATGGTGGGGACCCTGCTACCTGAGCCTTCACCTCCTGCACCCCGTGGTCTGCGTTGACAGGAAGCTGGAGTCCTGGCTGCACATCACATGTCCACACTCTGCTGTTGCACTCAGGCACTTTACCCGGTCCCTTAACCCTCTCCTCCCTGCCCACCCCAAGCACAACAAACCTTTACTTCCTGATTGCTTTCTTGCTATTGCTTAGTGTTCTTGTCTTTGGACCTGTCAAATATGTCAAGTTTTGACATGATTTTTACAGATGGTACCCCACCTCTTCAGAGTTATTTTGGGGCAAAAGACATAAAAGGAATAATTTATTGAGAACTTGCCAATACCATACTTTGCGTAGACGGAAGCTAGGATTTTTTGCTTACACTAAGGTTGCAAGAGACTTCTCCCTGTCTGGTTTAAGGAGTGGAATGTATGGTAAGAACAGGATAAATGCTAATTAGGATTGAGTTACATGTACACAGGTAAGAATATCCATTTAAGTTTTCCAAGCTAGAAATTTCCCCTTTTATAAATACAGACTATATCCAAATTCAGAATTTGCACTCCAGTTAAACTCTTAAGGTTTGGAGCCCTTCTCTCTCTGCTCCCACCTTTCCTTCTCTTTGCAACAGTTTTTCTAATAAATAAATAAATAAATTTATAAAACAGAACTATACAAAAAATAAATAAAATCCTCGGTTTGCTAAGCTGATGTCCACATTGCTGACCACTAGGTGGCCCCAGTTATGTATTCGTAAGCCATGTTCTGGGGAGACCATACTGCCCGAATGACTTTAGCATTTTTATTTGTTTGTTTGTTTATTTGTTAGACAAAGGGAGACACCGGACAGACACACAATCAGCAAGAGGTCTTCTTTCTATAAGTTCATTTTCTGAATGTCTGCAACAGCCAGGCTGGTCCATGCAAAAGCCAGGAGCCTGGTACTTTATACATCTCTTTATGAGTTGCAGGGACCCAAGTACTTGTGAGTTGCTGCCTCCCAGCTGCTGATTAGCAGGAAAGTGGACTGAGAGCAGCACTTGTAGGACTCATAGCTGACACTGCAGGGTGAGATGTGGGTACTCCAAGCGACGTGCCCCAAATGCCTTTTAGTGGGTTGGTTTCAGTTTGCCTATGTTGCTACAGGCACTTTGTTTCTTGACTAGGAAGTCGTTTCTGAGGCAGATCAGAACATACTACCGCTTAATATAGGGACTGGTTGATTTAGCATCATTGGCCATGGAAGAAGACAACCTAAGCCCTCATGATCACCTTCTTCTTATTTTTTCTCTCTCTTTTTTTTAATTGATTTGCAATCTCTGTCAACCTCTTATGTATGAATATAATGGCTTACTTGGCTTTATTGCTAAAAAAAAAAAACACGGGCAAATCGTGAGAAAAGTAAAGGGAAAATGGAAGCTGAAGTTTCTACAGGCTGTGGGTGGGGAGCTACAGCTTCCCTGCCCAGGGTGATTAGAAGACGCCACATTGCTGACACCTGCCATGTTCCTTAGCCTTGGTGCCACTCACGCTGTGGGCTGTGTTGTGGGGGGCTCTCCTGTGCAAGGTCAGTTGGTAGGCTGCATGCCTGGTCTCTTGCCACTGGATGCCAGTAATGTCCTTAGTCATTTGTGGACAATCAGAAAGGTCTCCAGAAATTGCCTGATGTCCCCTTAGGGGAACATTGTCCCAGGTCAAGAATTTTTGATCTCAGTGGTTACTCATTTTGCCCAGAAGCACTGGGGCAAGTATGGCCACAGGCAGAACCACACAAGGTGTTTGTTTTATATTGATTCTGGGTATGTGCATTGGTGATGGAGTTGTCATGAATGTATTGAGTGGCTTGATTTTTCTCTACTCATGTTTGACTGATTTATGTTTTGAGGGCTTTTATCCTATGGGAAGAGTCTCTGAGCATTGTTTTCTCTCACAAACTACACTACAAAGTGGTTTTGGATGAAGAAAAATGGAAAGGCACTGAATTTAACTTTGGATCAGTTGTTAAGCCTGAAAATCTATTTGTAGTCCCCATGCAGGTTATCATAGACATCTAACCTAGGGAATAGAAAACCAGAGACCTCTGTGCTTCTGTTTTTCCACTCCCTAGGAACTAAGATATGTGGCTAAACTCATTATTGTCTTGTATACAAATCCTGGCATGCAGGAAAAGCACAATTTTTGTTGAAATGAAACATCAGTACTTTGGTCAGTGTGCAGCATTAAGCTGTCTGGGTTTAAGGCTTTTCTAGCTGTGAGTTAGGATAAATACATATCATCTTCCTACACAAATTCCAGGGGATTTTAGGGAGATGAATTAAATAATGGACTTAGAGTGAAAGTAATCTTTTGAGCTGATGGCTTTTGCAGTGTTATACAAGAGGCCCAACCCTGTTGGTGTCGCAGCTGGGAACGCGCCTCCCGAAGGTGCTTTCTGGACTGCTCACGCAGGGCGAGAGCCGCCCCAGTGCCGTGTGATCTGCAGCACTGACATGCTCTGTGCTCTGGTCTCGACACGCTCTGTTTTGCATGTTTAGATTTCAGAGCCTGCTCTTCCCTTATATTGATCTTTACATCTGACCTTGCTCATGGTTACCCTGAGTATGCCCACAGCTTGAGGCGCTGTGCTCTGGAAGTCCTCAGTCAGAGCTTGGGTAACCATCCCAAAGAGGAACCTGAGAATTTCCATAATAGGAATGAACAGGACGAGAAAAGCTGTCAGTGATCCTATCTGCTGAGGCAGTCTTCTGGCATTTGATTTCAGGGAGGTTAGTCAGTGCACACAAACGGACCCGGATACAGTGCCAGGAAGCCTGCACTTTGTTTAGATTGTTCTAGGATCACTAGGTAATTCATTAATCTCCAAGTGAAATGAACATTTCAAGAAAGCTGATTCAAGGAATAAAGTGTGAAACACGCTAAGTCTACTTTGTATCTTCCCCATGCTCATTGCAAACATTGCAGTTGAATTCTAATTAACGGCAATCAAAGATCATTTTGTACAAACTCTCCCTTTGATAGACAAGAAAACTGAAGCTCATAAAGGTTAAGCAAGCAGGTCACAGCGTATACAACATGAGCCAAGACAAGAACCCACGTGTCTGGGCTGTTGGTGGAGACTCCTTTTCACTGTGGAAATGGTCAGAACGTGGAGCTGATAGGAGCAGGGCAGGCGGCGGCAGGGAGCGCAGCGGTAACAATACGGAGTGGGCAATTGTGGCTGACGTGGAAAAAGCAGGTCTCATCGAGAGGGACATCTTCTGGTTGATTGCCATGTGGCCCAAATTTTTAAATTTTAAGTGTTACAACAAAC